TGTCATCAGGTGTCTGGTGTCTTGGTTGGGACGTGTGGGCTTCTGTACAACCTACACCTACGCATGCCTGGTCTAAATCTTGAAGAAAGTAGAAGTTTCTTGTATTTAAAGAACGTTAGAATCATTAAGGGTGGAAAAGATCTCAAGGATCATCATGTCCAACCATCAACCCAACACCACTTAACTCACCAAACCATGTCCCTAAGCACCATTAATTGCTGCTCATCTCTGCTTGGGGTCTTGGCAGCGTCAGCTCCCATCACGGAGGTCTGGGAGAGCTCAGCAACCCAAGTGGGGCTCTTATTAAATCAAAAAAAAAAAGAGAAAAAGCAGCAGGTGGTCTATATTGTAAAGCCTACCTCCAGTGGCGATGTCTGATCTCATTAATGACAGGCAGTGAATCACCGCGGTGTGTCTCCTTCCCCGGCTGCCTCTCGTCAGGCTTGCTTGGTGGTCGCGGAGGATTTGCAGCGCTGCGCATCCGGTAAAAGGAGCTTTGGCCAGTTTCAAAGAAGCACTTTGTCATGAGTGGTCAAAAATCCACACTGGAAGGCTCAGAAGAGTGTCTTATGAAAGGATGAAAAGCTGCATTATCCTGCTGTAAAGTGAAAAGAAAAAAAAAAAAAACTGTAGTAACAATGGAAAAGGGAATCTTTGCGTGAATTGACCATGTTTCAAGGAAGGGCGAGTTTAACCTGCTGTAATACAGGGTCACTTCCCGTTAGCAAAACCCCCTGAAGGGAGAGGGAGGAAAATGTAAAAAGATACTTTACAGTAAAACAATATACTCATTTTACTCAGAGATCAAGGATTCTTTTTTTTTAAAAAAGAGCTTTTGAAAACCTACGCCGGGTTTTACAGAATATTTTTAACTCCTCCAATATCATATGGTTTTCACTAAGGCATTATTTAAAAATTGAACCGTTGTCTTTTGCTTTCTTGCATAGGGCAATAACGACTTCCCTCTGAATGTAATTATGATTTTGTTCTTCAACTTTTTCTCCTAGAAGCAGCTGAACTTTTACAACTAGGACCTGTATTTGCTGAATTTTATTAACGGACCCGTTCAGCTTTCTGTTTCTTCGAATTTTATTCTCCAGTGTCTCCCAAAGCATTACACTTGCATGTCTTTGTTCATTAGCTGTAAAGTCTTTCTTCAGCTGGGATAATAGAAAAAACATCTCTTGCTAGGCATCTAGTTGCAATTCTAGCTATTCTCAGAGGGGCAGATATATTTCAAGTGCGGTGCGTGGGGATTTAGATATACAATTCCAGATAGTCTTAATGAGAGTAGCAGCCCTAATTCCCCACACAGTGTATTAAAAACGGATCCAGAACGTACAGAGTGAGACTCTGTGATCTTACCTTTCAGTACCTTTGCTTTTTTCCTTTGTTTTTCTCACTATCATTTGCATCTGCATTCGTTAGGTAAAGGTAATTGATGGCTGCTTTGAGGATGAGGGAGCTGATCTTTGGAGCCTGTGCCTGGTTTTCTTGGTGGTGTTTTCCTGGGGATTGCCTGCGCCTGGGTGTCCCTTTGGAATGGAAAGGTTAATTCAAGAGGGAGGTCGAGGAAAGAATTTACCAAATTGGCTCCGTTATTATTCTGATTGCCTTCGATGTTAGACAAGAACAAGGCACACCTTTTCTTATTGCCTTAATTAACTACACACAAAAAAAAAATCCCCACCATACTGTGAATCTAATAAGGATTAAGATTCAGCTATAATATTGCTTCAAGATCTAAGGAAGACAATCCTAATGCAGAAAGGATGCCGTGCTTTTATACCTGAATTTCTTAAGTAATCTTGCTTTTTAAAATTCCTTCTTAGACATCCTTTTGTTGCCATAAAATGCAAAGAAGCAGCCTTTTTTTTTTTTTTTTTTTTAAATTTTAGACCCAATTCCTCATTTTGTTCGTGCCTTTCTTCTCTCTCTCTCCAATCCACATCCTTGTGGGAATCCCCAGACCTTACGGGCAGGATGCCACTGGTGGCATTGTAGCAGGGAAGGGGTGCCATGCGAAAGGGAAGCTTCTCTCCATTTGCACCACGAAAATTCCCGGGGCTTAATTCTCCCTTCTTGAAGGTTACTGTACTTACACTTGGAAGCCAATATCCACAAATAGCTAGTTTGGTAGTTAGGAGTAAATGGAGTGTGAATACTCCAGGCAACTCTTCTTCCTTTTGTTCAGCTCCATATTCTAAGACGTTGGGAAGATGCGACTTACAGACAATTCCTTCGCTCGCTCTGCTTTCCGCTGGTTTATTTTGCTGCCTTGCAGCCCATTTTCACCACCCTGACCATTCACGCTGCAGTTTCAGATGCCCAGCCATAGCAAATAGCCTCTCCTGGGGGACACCCCAGCGGTTTCGGCGGTCTGACAATCTCAGCAAAGGAGCCGTTTGGCTTCACAACGCACACATTTGTTGCACAGACCATTTCTCGATAGGAAAGCAAATTATCTCCTACTGCGATGCTGCCTTGGATGAGCAGAAAAACTCTTTTCTCCTTTCCACTTTTCTTCTCCTCTCTGCTTTCTACTGGCCAGTAAACTATTTTAATTTAAAAGATGATTTAAAGAGATAATCTGTTTTCCATTCAAGTTCTGTCTATGCCTTAGCTGCCCTCTTTTTTTTCCCTTCTCTATCCTTCTACTATCTTGGCTGCCTTTATGAAAAGACTTCCTCCTCCGCTGCTCTGCAGTCACTTAATACTACCTGCTGCTTTCTTCATCTTCTCCTACCGCGCTGCCTGTTTCTACCTCTTCCCCCAAACACTCTTTGATGCCCATGACCCCATGAATCTGTCCCAATGTTTTTTCCCTCTATATGTCATAAAAGATTTGTAGACACACAGCACATAGCTGCAGGTACGGGGTCGGTCAGGGAACAGATCACGGTATATGCACAGCCTCCAACTGAGCACATGGACAGAATTGAGTCTCTCCAGTTTGTTGTATTTACATCAAAATTGGAGAAGAGAGTGAAGTTTTGACAAAAGACAAGGCAAATGTTTGCAATGCGTGAAAAGCAAGGAGAAAAAACAAGTTATATCAAGGAGAAGAGGGAGAGCTTGGATGCCAGCCTAGAATTCAGGAGCTCTGTGTGCACATCCTTGCTTTGATCAGATTTTCTGTATGGCTGTGAAATTGCTTAGGACAGATTTTATCTTAATGAAGCTAATAGGAAAAAAAAGTTAATTTTTCTGTCTATGCTGATCTTTACTAGAGGATCCCCTGAGAAGTTTACTCCCTCTGCCTGTGTGGTCAGACCAGTTTCCAAAGAAACGTAAGATGTTAAAAACTTGCTGATCCAGAAATTCTAGATGCTGTACCTTAATGCCTCTGATTTCCCCAGAAATACAGGATGAGCGAATAGAAATATAAGCCATTCGGATCACTAAAATGTGTAGGAGGCCATCATTTTGTGGGAAATAGTTTTTCTCGTTTAATGAGTGGGTTAAGGACTGGGAAAGTGAACTGAAAACTGCAGGGTCTGATTCTGCTTAATAACTATGAGATAAGAAAGTGTCTAACATGATGTGCCATCTCACGCGTTCTCATGGATTGGAATAAAGGAGAAAAACACTTCTAATCTTCCCTCTGTCCTCAACCGAGACATTGGAAAGAAGTGTTTAGAGAGGGGCAGCAACTGAGAATGAGTCAGCAGCGCAAAGAATGACGTGGCTGTTTTTAGAAATGTGCTTGTCATGAAACACCAGTGGTTTATTAAATGTGTTATGTTTACAGCAAAGAAGACAATTCCCTGCCTGGTTTGCTTGGTTTTATGGTTAAGTCTGAAACCAGTTGGTTTGGTTTTTTTTTTCCCTTGTACCTCCCAAGTGTCTCAGTTGCCTTCTTTCAGAGTTTTTTAGTAGCTATTGGTCATTTCCATCTATGTAAATCTTTAGGTCTCGAGTCAGCCTGTGACTAGGACTGCCAATATTTCTGCCCATGATTAAAAAGGCAGAGCAGAGTCATGCTGGGAGCATGGCCATATGGGTGCCCACCTACCAGGGACCACTGCTAAGTGGTTCATAGGGACATAAAAAAGTTCTCGTATTTTCTACCCTCCTTCCTAATCCTGGTGCCCCTTCCATGCTGTCCCTAATTGTTTGGATTTAATTTCCTGATTTTTTTTTTCTATTCTATTTCTTCTCCCTTCAAAACTCTGTCTAAAATACACCTTGGAAAATGGACGCTTCAGTGTGCTTATTTCCCCAAACTCTCGTTTTTCTAGGGTTTTGCTGGCCGTGGTGGTGGTCACCTTGCATCATCTTTCAAGGTTTATAAAGCACAGAGCTGACCCAGCTAGCCCTGTCTCTTCTGGCATGGCAGGGTCCTGCAGTTGTAGCTGCTGTGCAGCATCCTTCTTACCAAAACCATCTCAGGGGAAAGCGTATCTCGTACAAATCAGACCTTTTGCAGGTTCCTGTTGTGGCTTTGTCCAGCAGCCACTCCACTACGGAGAGGTTGAAACATGATCCCAAAACAATTTGGACCTCAGTCTTCATCAGAACTATCATTGGATATAATTGGATATAATACATTAATGATAATATAATAAATGGATAATAATAATAATTTGATAATAATAATATAATAATTGGATATAATAACCATTACTATAATTTTGACCAGGTTTAACCAATTCTAAAATGTTCCTCTCAAGTGAATAAAGGACAGGAGAAAGACACAGAGCATACGTTTTATGTGAGCATACCTGCCCTTCAGAGCATCTATATATTATTTAGAATGGGAGTTTATTTTTATGAAGAGTATCCTCTGTGATTATTTTATCAGTAACATCTTGTTGCAGTACAGCGGCATGGCAATCGTGATAACATTTGTATCAGTTACAACTTTTAAAACAATAAATGGTTAAATAAACCCTAACTGAATGTGGTTTTGCAGGAAATAAAAATTATGAGGGGAAGAGAAATGTTCCCATGTTATAGAATTTGGTTTTTTGTTTTTTGTTTTTTGTTTTTTTCCCCAGGAACACAAATGCTGCCGGGAAACAAGAAGAAGCAACACACCGTGGACAAGAGCAGTGCAACGACCTCTGGCGCTCTTCCAGATACAGCATCCAGAAATGCAATCGCTGCTGCTACCGATGGCTCATTGAAAAAGATAGATCCCTCCAAAGGCACCTCCAAACCCAAAGACATCCAAGCCCAGGGCATCATCTTGAAAGCAAAAAAGTCTCTCTCCGATAGTATGTGCTATGTAAAGGCATCATCAAGAATCCTCGTGGAAGAATACGTTCACAGGCAAAACCAGCTCCTAAAAAGTAAGGTACAAATCCTACCGGGGTTGTTGGGAGTATGGTTTCAATAATAAGATGAGATCAGTCTCAAAGAAAAAAAAAAAAAGTGAAATAATGGAAAGTCAGGCCATTTTTGTCTAGCTTTAAGAGCTGAGTATGAGTCATCTGGTGAGAGATCAATCAACTAATCTGACTGTATGCATTGCTACGGTTAATAGCAAACAAGGTTAAAATGAGAAAGATAGGCTTACTTTGTAAGTAGGTTCAAGAAAGTCTTGAAAAAACATTAAAATTGCAGAGTCAAGCAGTCCCAGTCCAAGCAAGGAGCACCAGAAGCGAGGTTATTTTTACAACTTGGTCTGATCCCTTTCTTTAATTTCTGCAGTCTTTTTTTTTTTTTTTTTTTTGACACAATGGCATGAATGATGTGGTGCACCAGTATAGCATGAAACACCTCGTTTGGAGAAATTATCATGAAGAAAAAAAAAAAAAATCAAAAGTTTAACAATTGATTATCAACAAAATTTCAGCATGTAAAACATAATTTCTTCTAGATCAGCACCAGTTGGGATGTCTTACCTCCAACATCTGTTCACACAGTTAAAATGGAGATGACACAAGCAGCTGTATTCCTGTATTTTTGCAGAAGAAAATTGGGATATCCTATACATTAATTTGGCTTTAGTATCAGCAGGTCTGTGAGAAATTTACTCCAAGAATACCTAATGGTCATAAAGCCTTTTTTTCTTACAGCATTTTTTCTTACTGAATTTTTTTTTTTTGTAGGCAGGTAGGTACAACTTTTTCATTATTGACTGTAAAGGTACAGAATATAACACGGATTTGGATGAGAGAAGCCTCATCCTGCTTTCAGTGCCTGCAGTTAAATCATGCCATTGCACTAACTGGGAGTGACTTAGTTTTACAAAAGTGAAGCATCCGCTGAGATCCATCAAAGATAAAGTTAATCGACACCTCTGTAAACCTGGTTTAATTTCATGGTCACTGGTTTCAAGTTGGTTTTTTTTTCCAAAAATGTTAACAAGAACAGTATTAGGGAGGAAATACAGTTCAGGCTTTTATAAGGCAAATGTACCCAACACAGATCATATTAATATATTTTTTTGAGTACAATATAATATGTACAATATGTCATAAAGAGGAAAATATTTTAAGTTTATTGTAACCAAAAATTGAAATAAAACAGTAATGGGCTTTATTCCCAGATATTTAGTTCTAGAAATCAAATTATTTGGCAAGGAAGAAGTACTCCAGTGTGACTTTTCAAAAGAATTCATATGGAGCTCTTCTGAAGTTCCTTTGTTATTTTGGATTCTTCCGAAGTTCCTTTGTTATTTTGGATTAATTCTGTCCTCTAAACAAGAACCTTGTCAACTCCGATTTTGGAGCACGTAACCTCTTTTGGTCCTAATTCATGCAGGGAGTATCAGTCATAGAGCATTAAATCATAATTATAAGTGTAGAAAATAATCTTTTTGTTCTCAATGGAGGACTGTGTGAACTGACAGCTTTCATAGTAATATGTTACAACGCATATTAACCTTTGTTTATATTTTTTTTTTCATGGAGTCATTCCACTAGCTAATGAATATATAGAAAAGATAGAAAGCAAACTGTGTTATCAGGAAAGAAAAAAAAAAAAAAACAACACGAGGAGTGTTTATGAAAGCCTCCGCATGGTCAAAGAGAAATGAGATGTGATTAAGGTCCATAACAATGGGTTATTTCCTACGCTACGTGCAATAAATTGAAATCATAGAACGATTGAAATGAACCCAAACTGCAAGTTGCAGTGTGATATCCTTTGCTTTCCACGATGTTACAGAATTGTCTTGCTTTTGGGAAGCGCGTGCCGGCAAACAGAGCGAAGCACCCGAGCGGTTTAATTACGCTTCGGTGTGATGTCTGGCTTAATGTGAGAGATACTCGGGGTGTCACAGGGCACTGAGTAGCACCTATGATTAGATTTGATCTATTCTGTTTAATGAGGCCTATTCATAATATCTTGGCATTCTTATTTCAGAAATTGCCCTCTGTGTCTAATGAGGTGGAGAACCCAATAAAAAATTAACCATGCACTCTTAATGAACTTTTAAATCTCTCCAAGGTGATTATGAATTCTGCGGTTCAAGTGACAAAATAAAGGAGCGTAAGGA